TTGCGAGGCTAATTCCCAATTTTATTTTTGAAAAGTGAACAGAGTCAGTGGACCTCGTGTGGGCTGTGCGTCGCACAAAAGCCCCTTGATTCTTGATTTCGTGCAGGCTGCTTTGGTAGCCTGCCTTCCCATGTTGAGGTCCTCCTCAAGGACCCTTCGTTTGGTCCTTGGGGAGTCTTTATTGAATGTTTCGACCCTTTATACTACATTTTACCTATTTAAAGTCTTTTTACAAGTTTTGGACTTCATATGACCCTCCCAAACCTTCAACAAACAAAGAGACGTCAAATAGTTAGATTTTGCTAGTTTCCGGACATCATGGACGTTTCTTGATGCCTTGGCTCTTAAACTTCCTAAATGGTTTATAAACATTACTTTAGTCTTAGAACAATGTTTTAAGGTTTAGTTCATGATGTGAGGCTCTATATTAGGTCATGGACTTCGGAGTATTACAATTCAGATTTGTGTCGTGTGCTGACGCTTTACCAACTTTCTGACGCAGACAACTTTTACAATTGTACTACATTATGCACCTGATGGAGAAAACTCTGCGAGGGACCAGGTCCCTGCATTTGTGAAATACTGGAACATACAATCTCGTCTGCTCTTCTTATTGGTGTAGGACACTGCAGTTTTCACCTACCACCTAGCATGACAACTTTACAGTTGTACCCCATTTGTATCTGGATGAGAGCACTCTGCTAGGAACCAGGTCCCCGCATTCGTGAGGATCATCAAAACACCTAACTATAAGATATTCCCCTTTTTGATGATAACACACAAATATACCTCATAACAAATTCTGATTCCTTGTTAGATCTCTAAGTTTGTTAAATTATCAAAACATATTATCAGCTCCAAACTAACAAATGTATGGATGGTTTGCATAGTATTCTGTTTTATATGTTTCTATAGCTTGAGTAGAAATGATTGATGGATTGTAGGAGGATATCTGTTGCGAAGAGGATTTTAGGAAGAGTCTAAAGCAAGATGTAGGTTTATGCAAGCATTTGTGGAAAAAAAATACTTTGTGAATTCTATTTTAACCTCGAAGGCTCTCGATTCAAAACGATTGATTGACAGAGATTTTAGATTGTCTTAATTTTTATATGAGCAACGATGGAAATTAAACACTTGTCTGGTCTATATAAACATAAATGTAAGATCTCTTAGTAGAATTTTGTGATTTATATGCATATAAATTATAATTACTTTATGTGATTCTATTGCTCATGGAGAGAGACGAGAACTTTAATTTTGTGAAATCAATTGATAGATTGTTATCATGTTAAAAAGTTAACATGTTGGTTGAGCTTCTCTAATAATAAATGTAAGCACTTCCTCTGATAGTTAACAACTAGCTAAAATCTTATACTATATGTATGTTAGACCCGTAAACTACTTGATCTAACTACGTGCAGACATGTTAAGGATTTGGGCATTGGTCTTGACATGAATGGGGGCAAAACAGTGCAACACAAGTTCAAGGTGCTTGGGTGTTGGCAAGACAATTTGACCATGCAAGGCTTACGTGTGGGATAGAGTCATCGGCAAGGCAGCGTGTTGGCTTGACAAGGCAAAGCTGTGAAAACTTGACGATGGCAAGAACAAAGGCATTTCACGTGAATTGCCTTAATAAAACTAAGTGTTGGAGGGCAGCTAAAATATTCTAAGTATTGGAAGCTGGCTGAAATATTCTAAGTGTTGGAATGTAGCCTGAAATATTCCAAGTGTTAGAATATTAATATTTCGTGTGGATAAGGATGTAATTTGAATTAGATTCTATCTGTTAGAAATATAGTTATTGGAAACTTAGTTTGAATCTTGTGATGACAAGTGTCGGACATGTGTCATTTGTAATTGCCGCATGTAACTGCCATGTGCAGAAATTTTATAAGGGTGGAAATTTCGTTAAAGTCTAAAAAGTATGTTTCTGGCCTTAGACAAATTTGTGAAGTCTTCCCTTTGTATTAATTATAAGATTAATAAAGATTGGGACGAGTTCCTGTACATTCTGTCTGTTGCTTAACTTTGTTGTTAAAGTATTTCTATACTTAGTCAAATTTGTGGGAGTAAGATAGGCTGAGTGTTGCAGGCGTTTGCAAGACTGCCTAGAGTGGTATTCGATAAAAATAAATCGACCCTCTTTCAATGTATGTGATGGAAGTTAGGTATGGTTGTTTAAGAAAGTGTTTACGGTCTTAATTTGTACCTTGGCTTAATATTGCTTAGGATTTTCGTGACTCGTGAGTTCAACTGCAACAACAAAAGCCATAAATAAAAATGTGATGATAAAGAATTCAAAACTTCTTGATCGGTCCAGAAGACTTGGTCAGTTGAGAATGTAGAATATTAATAAGAACTCTCCTAATAATTTTATTTTTTATATTATATAGTATGGTTTCATTTGTCTGTTAACTTCCAACTTAAAAACTAAATTTAAAGAGTTCGCTTGTAAGAGGCCTCATGCATATAAAAATTTAAGTCAGTTTAATTTGAGAAATATAAAAAATAACATAAATTAAATTAAAAATGACTGAAAATAAGTTACGAAGTGTATGACACTGTAAAAGATGACTAAAAATAAGTTAAAAACGACTTAAGATAAGTTAAAAACCAAAAATAGATCTCCCTCTACTTTTTATTTTTTAAATTAAAAGTCATTTCAATTTGATCTTTTATTTTTTACTTAAAATTTTTTTTAAGCCAATAAGCAAGGACTTTCCGAGTGATTTATTTTATTGCTAAGTGGATATTTGTAATGATATCTAGGTGGTTCATAAGTTTCAAAATTGTTTTACTATTGTCTCATCAGATTACATACTCAATAGTTTTATCTGCACTTATTTTAATAATTTTGATTGCTTTATATCCTATTGCTTTTGTTTATTTTGTCTTTCGGGTCCTCTCGATTCCTTCAAAGAGTGGCAAGTTAGTTTCTATTTATCGAGTGATGCTGTTGTTTGATTATTTCATTTGTAAGTTGTGCTGACTATTTCACTTCAAAGATGGTGACATAAATGAGTTATTTTTAACAAAAAAATATGAATTTTCTGATGTTTTCACGAAATTTTATAAAATGAAGATGGCATGAGGGACACATTGTGATGTTTTTCGTTAGTTGAATAATTTAATTTGAGAAAATTGATTATTTTTGTGGAATTGTGTAGTGTTTCATATTCGGTTCTTCACAACTACTCACTACTCTATTGTATAAATAAGCGTTGATACTTTAGTGTTGAAATTTTCAGATGCTTTTATTGTCAAGTTATATGTGTTAGACCTTTGTATAGCACTAAAGTCATCTAGCTATTTAGAGGTGTATGAGAACTTTATTTGTCCACATGAATTCTTGTTGATGTGCAATTTTTTAACCCTTTTTTGTTTTACAAGGATGGCATATTTTTAGCCGTTTCGGTAAATAACAACACATTTTATTCGAGTTATTATTGTGTTCAATATAAGCCATCCATCTATTAGATTATCTAAAATTATGTTATTCAATTTCATCTTTTGAGACAAACAACTGAAGAATATATATATATATATAGACTTCCATTGTTGAGCCCGTTCAAAGCACGAACATATATATATATCTTGAGATTTTGTATCTAGTTGAATCAAATAGAAGAAAATAAATAAATTCTTGTTTGAAAAAAAAAGTTATTAAACTTTTCATGAGATAAGTTTTTTCGTCAAATTTACATATGAAGAACTCATTGTGTGAAACTAGGAAAATACCTGTGTCATTATGATTTACAAGCATCAATTAAATATTTCTAACAATTATTATTATCTATGGCAAACTATTATTCCCTCCATTTCATCATAAGTTAATTTTGAGATGTTTTACGCCCTTGAAAAGTAGATTAAGAGATAGATTAAATATAATTTTTTATTTTTTATCTTTATTAATTATTGTCAAATTTATGATTTAAATAATTAAATATTAAATTAATTTGATAAATAAAAAATACCTCAAAAATTAATTTAATATGAAATGGAGGGAGTAATATGTTTGTTTAGGTGTACTCAATGAAATTGACGATAAAAAACTTGCTATTCCAAGAAACACATATATTGATTGAATATTGATCCAACCTCCAAGAATTACCCCTCGAGTTCAACAACAATTTTAAATATGTATAATGTATGCGACTATTAAAAAAAAACTACAACTTCTTAAAAAGAAGAAGAAGAAATAATCACGTGAAACCCTTGGAATCATATACTATGTTGCCCGGAATCATATTTAAATTACGTGTTATTAACATATAAAAAACAACTATTAATTAAGTTGAATGTTTGATACAATAAAATAATTTCATAACTAGGTTCTTTAATAATGACAAATTTACTTACATCCGAAAAATAAAATTTATCAAATATTTATATATTGACAATAGATTTTAATTGAATAGGCTCATCATTCATTAATTTGAGCTTATTTTTTGTTTTCTTATTTCAAATGCAACTAGTCACATTAATATTTTAAACATATTTGTACTAGAAAATACACAGTCCAGAAATTTCAAAGTTAAAGTTTATTAATAATGTTAGAAAACATTAAGTGTATATAAATTGGGAGAAATTCACAAGTAACTCTAGATTATTATCGAAATCTTAGCGATAAATCTTAACTAAATTAAGATTTTATTACCTCTGAACTTATTTTTTTTTGGTAATTTTATACACCTTTTGTCTTATTTGGCACAGTCCGTGACTCGACGCAATTGATTAGTTTAATAATTGTGTATGTATGAAATTTCAATTATAATCTAGAGGTTACTTGTGTATTTTCGCTATAACTTAAATACTAATAAAAATAATTCTTCTACCGCTTTCATGGGAAATTACTTGGATATTCTGACAATTTAGAACAAGTCATGCACATTTTCTTGCATGTGTTTAGGATTATACAATAGTCTATTTTTATTTTATACCAATTCACATTATTAATGTAAAAGAAAAAGTGTGTAGTTGTATTTTTGAATAAAAATATGGATAACTTGTTTGGTGAAATAGATTGTAGATCAAAATCAGATGGAATAGTGATGGGAATTTTAAGATGTGCAATGGACAAAGCACATGAAAAGGTGCAGTGTGAAGCTGGATCAATTGAGTTTCTTCATGAGAGATCAAAATTTTATGAATTAGCAGTAATTCTTGTAGAATCAGGCTTAAGTATAATTCAAGAAGAGACTGATATCCTTGAAAGTAACCGCGAAAAAGTCATCTCAGACTTAACAGAAATGAGGCATTGGCTATTTGGAAGAATTGAGGTAATGAAGCTCCTAATCAATGAGAAAGACAGAGAATTAACAGAGAGAATTGAAAATGAATTAAAGCTTAGAGAAATTCTGAAATCTAAAGAAAAAGAAGTCTTTTATCTTCGTGATAAGTTGGAGAACCAGAGAACAATGAGTGAAGGTTCCCTAGATTTGGAGTTACTAGTCAAGAAGAATAAAGAAGATGAAATTAGCGACTCGAAATCAGATTCAGAACTTCTAAATGAGGAAACATTCCAAAAAGATAGTATCTTTTATGGAAGTTACAATCACATTCCTAAAATAAAGCCTATGATGAAGGATTCGTTGTGCCCCGAACAGAACAACGTGATTCAACAAATGAGTTGTGATATAGACATTTTAAATGAAACTTTAGATTTTGCATTTGGTAGAAGGGATAATGGTGAGATGGTTCCTATAGAAAAGCAATGGAAGTGTTCTATTGAGAAAGATACATTATCTATCTTGATAAAAGGCTTCATTCAAGATATCAAACATAGATTCCAAGACACTTTAAAAGAAAACGTTGAGATTGTTATTTTTGAGAAAGACATATTATATGTCTTGTTAAGAGGTTTCATTAGTGACTTTCAACAAGAGTTAGGTGATCAAACTCCAATTGAATTTTCAAATGATAACTTGGAAGAATTTATCGGTGAGATGACAATTTTACGCGAGGAGCTAGAGGCTTTCTGTAATAAATATGAAGATAGAAATAAAACTATTAGCAATCAAGATTTACCACGTCCTTTGACAAAAATACAACGAACATGTAGCGAACCTTTACCAAGCATTGATCAAGAGGACTACCAAGAAGTTAGTGGAAATATTAATGATGTTGCTAAGTTGATTAAGGATCACGAGTCTGTTATTAGAAAGCAATTAGAAGATCAAAATCATATGAAAAAAGAGGTATTTAGAGGGGAGAGATCTGCATTACACAAGAAAGAGAAGGAAGTTGATTTCTTAAACGTAATGGTAAAAAATATCATCACAAGATTAGATGATATAAGCTCTCTGAGCCTTAAGTTAGTCGATAAAAGTTATGTGAAATGTAAAGAGAAGTACATTATGAAAAATATATCCAAGTCTACTATAGGAGATAAAGTGGTAACAAATGATTGTACTTGCGAAATCATAAGAGATGATGTGGGAGTACCAAAAGAAGATACGGAGAATTTAAATTTGCAAGTACTAATTTTGGAAGAGATTTATCTGATAATTTATGAAGGTTTATACAAGGAAATGTTCAAGGCATGGAAGGATGAAATAGATGATTTTTACATGGAGGTCGAGATAAGAGAAGATTTTTATAAGTTTATGATGGTTGAAGCGGTAAAAGATGTTCATACAAAAATGTTAAACTATTTGAATCATCCTTATAAGAAGGTAGAAATTGATAGAATTGAGGAAATCAAGATTGAAAAACTTGATTCTACGTTAAAATGTCTCGAGACAAAGGAAGATCCGATGGTGAAAGCAAGTTCAGAGATAGAAGAACACAATGAACAAGAAATTTTAGGATATGAAGGGTTTGAGGAGTGTGAGACAATTAAATGGTTGTTGAATGATGATGTGTGCACTTTCAGTTCTGTCAATGAAAAACTAGAAATTACGATGAAACAACTATCTACGTGCAAAGAATTATTATTTGATTTGGAGCAAAGTCTTGACGTTTCACCTGATGTATTAGACATAAGTAGTGATGATTGTGCATACACAAACAATACTAGTCTTGTAGTTGAAACTAAAAAACCATCACAAGAGTCTATTGCAAAAATAGACGACAACCAAATTACACTTATTAATCCATATAATGTTTTGATCTCAGCCCAATTATTTGATTTTCATCAAATGATTCAAGAATTTGAGATCAATGTTGTTCAAAATCTAGAGATGAAGTCACTGAGGTATTCAAGACTTAGTTCATTTGAACAACCCCATAGTATATACATAGGGAGTAATAATAATGTTATTACCTCTTTCAGGATAGAGGAATTGAAACATCAATTTCACAACTTCATTATTGAACCAATTGCCTTAATGAAGAAAAAGAAATTACTTTATAAGAAAGCTTTCTTAGCAAGATGTCAGAATCTAAAATTGGCTGAAACTGAGGTATATTTTAATCTATATGTGATGTACTTTTTCTTTTAGTCAGTTTCAATAATAATGACAATTTTTTTTATAAAATAACAATTTAATTATAAAATATTTATTTTATTCTTAATGAAATCATTTACAGACACACAAATTACTATTATTCATTTTGAATCACAAGTTTTAAAAGTATTTATTTCTTTCTTAAACTTCGTGATGAGTCAAACTACCTCACATAAAATGAGACAGAGGGAGTATTATTTAAGTTTAAAAATCAATTGGCATAGCTAAACAACTTGATTGATACTCACTAACTAAATTGATATTTGTACAGGTGGATTTGCTAGGAAATCAAGTGGAGGAACTTTTGCATCTTCTTAAGAATATATACATTATACTGGATCAAAATTCAACTATTTTGTCTTGCCACTTTCAGGTCAACCATAATCCAAACATAACACTATATATCCATTATTTTATTATTTATTTATTTACTTATTTTTACTGTAGGTGTTTGACATTTTAAAGCTCATCAAAGACGAGTTGATTGGTGAAGTTGTTTGTCTATCTTCTTCTTAAAATGTAAAGTTTAAAATATTACATTTTGTATAATGTATTCATTTGTTTATATGTGGGTAAACAAAATCTCCTAGTATGAACTACCTATCCACAAGAAAAATGTGAAATAGTACAGTTTTTAGCCTATGCTCCACTAAGCATCTTCTCCATTTCCTCCGGGTCCACATTAAAATTGAGACATTTGTTATCTTAACAATTCAATGATTATAATTTAGTTTACTAAACAATATATTTTAATCATAGTTAAAAGATTATTCTCTACTATTGTTGTAATACCCCTTTAGGTCGTTTCCTTCATTTTCTAATATTCTTGGTGTTTAGAGATTTTCTGTAGCAACCCTAAGTCATTAGTGACTTGCATGGATTGATAGTTTGGTTACTTGGTCACTCAGATAACCTTTATACGAGTTTTCATGTTTTAGATCTTCTAAAACTTGTACGGTTGACTTTGATCAGAAATTAGGTAAACGATCTTAGAATGTAATTCTAACGATTCTGGTAGCTCTAAAATATCAATTTCGATTTAGAAGGACGTTTGATGCGGGTCCCGAGGTTTCTAGGCTCATTTTGAGCTACCTTGTGAATTTTTCCTTAAAAAGAAGCTTGGGTGTGAAACCAACTTTTTGTTGTGACGACCCTTGTTGAAAGTTTCGACATCTCTGTTGAGTCTATAATGTGGATTTGGTAGGGTAGCATAATTTTTTTGCATGCACGGGGTTCTAAACAAATCTTGAACATGCAGTCGACGTCTTTTCAACTCCAAATGCTCAGTTGGTGCAGCAACCTTTAAGTTTCAACTTCAGTTGACTAGTGAAACGTTTGTGGAGGCCACTGATTTCGATCTCTACATTCGCGATCCTATTGTTACATTCGTGAAGGACAGGTCCCTTGACCCTGCATTTGCAGGCCCTGACTCCACTTTTGCAGAGAAGGGTATAATTTAACCGGTCTAATTGACCACTTAAGTGGCGAACTTGGGGCCCGCTTTTCTGGAGGTCATTTAGCTTATGATATATGGTGATCAATCCCGAATTCAATTCGATTTTCCAAATTTCCAACTTTGAGTTCTTGGCCTTTAGAGCTTCGATTGAGCTCATTTCTGTTGCGTGTGATGTGGGAAATTGTGGTGCATTGTCTGGGGGTCTCGGGGATGCATTGCAGGTCTGTTTTGAAGTGTTGGATAAACATTGTGTGCCCCCGTTCTTTCTGACACCTTAACACAATCAATACTCAATAATACCAGCCAAACTCAATCAAAGGGCTGCCCCTAACAACAAAATTAAAGACACCACGACATGAGTTAGAAATTTGGTAAAAATGATACTAGGACATGGAATTAGGAAGGATGGTGGTAAGAAGAAGATTACATCAACAAAAATGTTTGAAATATCAAGCTTAAGAATCTTCAACCTTGCAACATTAACAAACAGAGCCTAAATCTATAAGAAAATTATACCATAGTGATAAATTCGCTACCTAGAGCAACTTTCGTTAAACTTATGAGTTGAAAAACTAAACACCCGAGGAGTATTTGGAAGTTTACTTAATAATTTTTATGGTTTTTCATTTTTCTTAGCGAAAAAAATACGAAAAAGGGGAAGACCACTAACTTAGGAACTAGGGAGGCCCGCTTAGAGGTGTTTACTTACGCAGTCTCACAAAAACATGCATAATCTCTATTCTAAAGTCGCATGGACCAACTCTTTAGTGAGTTTGATACTACACTTGTATACCTTCGATTTGATAGGTTATAGGCGTCTAACTCCTTATATATTAGGAGAATATTGTTGAGACATTTGACCCAAAATTCTGGAGAATTTCTTAGTGGTGTTTACAAAAACTTCTCCCAACTTTCTTGACTTCAAAACTTAACCTATGAACTTTGATCAATTAAAATACCTTATAAAACATCCCTCCTAATATGTTAAATACTCTTACTCTTATCCTAAAAGCACTAGTTAATCCAAATGTTCAAACAGGTTGGGAGTCATACTTCCTCCTTAAGGTCAACATCCATCCTCAAATGATAATAATATTTATGGCAACATAGAAAACAATATAGGAATTAATCTAGAACATAAGTAACATACCTTATATACTAAAATGCGAGTCTACTCTCCATTTACTCTTCAAATAATATAAAGGAGAGAACAAGTGGGGATATTTAGTCTTCTTGTCTTCCTTAACTTCCTACTTAGCTCCTAAACACTACAACTCCTTCACAACACTTATCACATAAGCTATATCCTCTATTCAGAATCTTCTTATTTGGCTATCTACTATGTGAACATGGACTTCTTCATAATATAGATCCTCTTAAATATGAACATCTATTGTTGGCACTACACGAGTTGGATATCTGATACACAACCGTAACATAGAAACATGGAAAACCGGTTGTACCACCTATAACTCTGAAGATAACTCGACTTATCCATCACAAGATACGGTAAGGAACAATGTACCTTGAGCTCAATTTTCCCCTTTTATGGAATCTAATTACGCCCTTCATAGACGAAACTTTAAGAAAGACCAAATCATCAACATCAAACTCTAAGTCTCATGCTCATGCCTAACATCCACATTGGATTTATGGTGGCTCTAAGATGTCAACAACCATTCTCTATTTAACTTAACTTGTTCCATGACTTGCTGCACTATGTCTGGTCCAAACAACCCCGATTCTCCAACCTCGAACAAATCAAGAGAGGGTATATATTTTCTTCCATATAAATCCTCATATGGAGCTATACCGACGTTGTAAAGATAGCTATTATTATAAGAAAATTCAATAAGTGGCAAGTTATCATCCTAATTTCCTTTGAAATCTAGAACACATGCCGGTAACATATCCTCGAATATCTAGATTGTACATTTGTCTTGGTTGTCATTCTAAGGATGAAAGGATCTGCTAAGGTTGATTTGCATCCTTAGATCCTTCTGGAAAGATTTTGAGAACTATGTTGTAAATTATGACCCTCTATCCAAAATGATCAATATAAGGACATTTTGAGAAATATGTTGTTAATTATGACCCTCTATCCAAATGATCAATATAAGTACACTATGCAATCTATCAGTCTCTCTAATGTATAACCATGTATAATCTTGAGCTGAAAAATATGTCCCTTCTGAACTCGATGACTGCAGCTAGAACCTAATGCCAAAACCTGGGACTAAGATGATCGTTCTAAACCACTTGCTTATGCTCCATGACAACCACCCACAATTAAAAAAACAAACAAGTATATATAGGTTTAAAGCCATCGTACAATAAGGCCATGTCAACAACTCTATAAAGAAAACAACTAACCCTAATAGTTTATATAAAGAAATAACTAGCTAGCACACAAGCCTGTTTGGACGTTGAGGCCACCATGGTATCTAGAAAAGCATAAACACTATGTGGAGTTTCGAAGCCGCCATGATCTCTATACAAAAGCTGAAATCTGATACATATATATATATATATATATATATATATATATATATATCTAAACATTATCTCAAATAACGATGAAACTTCAGTTAACCCGCACACAAGGCCAATGATCTTGGGCGTATTTGCATGCTTAAGAACCAAATAACTCCCGCATTTTGGCTTAGTTTAGAATCATTCTTTACTAATTGATAGTACCTTCGGGTCATATTAATTCATTTATACTGACCAACATGATTGGTCGTGCAGGTAATGCGTAAATGAAGAAATGAGCACGAAAAAACACGAAAAAACAAACAGTGGAAAACACAAGAAGATCCAAGTACATAACAACAAGAAAGAAGAACAAAAAAATGAAGATCAAGGAAAATCCGTATCCCCTCCGTGTCACGGAGAGGGATTTTGTTCTTTGTTCTCATATTAAAAGTTGAGAAAAAACAGACTGTAACAGAGTCGCATCGTGGATAAGTAATGATTTCCAAGGACTGGATTTGTGGGATCACTCCATGTTGTGGAACACACTTCCATATTTGGACGAAGTAGACTAAATATAAATAGACTAGAATTTTAATTCTTTTTTTGGGTTTGAAGAACGACGACTTTGGGAGTTTTTTCATCTGTCTTAGGGGTCATTCCTAAACTCTTTTATCTACGATCTCTTTATGTTATTTAAACATTGAATAATCGAGATTTTTTGTATGGGTAGCTAATTTCTCTAGTTCAAGGGTTGTGGCTACTGGATGATTGTATCTTATATGGATTGAAATTAATTATAACACGAATTTATCTTTTGTTCTTATTTTCGTATTTTGTACTTGATCACCACTAAAATAAACACATTTTCTAAATTGAACTCAGAGGATAGAACGTGGGGGCAAAAAGAGCATCATTTTCTCTTAAAATCTAGAGTTAATTTGTATCGATGGTAGGGATATACTTAGAAATTGTGCTGGATTATTAGATAGGAAAAAATCTTGATGCTCGTTAGTTGGTCCAATCTATCCCTGCTCAATGATGCAGTTAGACTGCCAATTATTGTAGGTGATTAGAGGCTGGGAGATCATAATAATATATTTAACCCTGTGATCATTCGATAGTTCATTAATATCCATTTTACGAGATAATATGCATGAAGTCAAAGTAATCTGCAGCCATGAACTTTACTCAATCATTGTTCAAACCCTTTTGAAATTGAATCACATTATTTTAGATTTTAATTAGATTTTAGATTATGGAGTTATTCACTATATCATTCTTGATAACACTTGTTTCGAATTGAAAGTATTGGAAAGATCGAATTAATCTAACCATAAGTCATTGTGGGTACGACACCTGACTAAAAAGAGTCACTTTAATACTTGAATGTGTGATTAGGCACAATAAGTTTTTGGTTGCTCTGCTAAGGACATAAATTATAAAGTATTTGATTTGACTATTTTTGAAGTTAGAAAGCAAAAGTTGACAACTTGATCTTAACTATTCATTTTGCAGGTTGTGTTGAAGCTTCAAATTGAAAGACAATCAGCACTTAGCAAAGCCTCTAGATGAAATGGAAAGATTTGTTCATTATTGGAGAAGGCAAACACGGCTCACTTACACAGTCCCTCTTGTTGCTAGTGAAAAAGTAACTCCAGTAGAAAGAGTTGAGCCAAAAGAACCTATAGTGATAGCCGAGATTAAAGCGAGAGACATGAAAATCCGACGTACCACCAGTGTTATAGTTGTTGCACACCAATGTATAGTTCACTGGTTTATTGCACAAGGATCGCAAGTTCATATCCAGAATTTCCTCGAAATCAGTGACACTTATACTCCAACTTGAGTGAACTCAGATTATGGGAGGCTCGCCTAATTTTCCTTTTCTCTCCTAGGGGAATCAAAACGATGATTAAATTTGAAGCGCACGAACTCAATAATATTATTAGACGATCTTGCACGAAAGTTCCTGATGGTTTTTATCATTTGGGAAAATAACTAAGTTAAGGAGTTACATATTGTGATTCCTACAAAAAGGAGGACAAAACTTATACCACGCTCTGAACAAGCTTAAATAAATGTTGTTAATATGGACGCACCATCATAAGGCTAACGAGGTATTGGTCCACACCTTCATCGAAGGGTTGGATCCTAACACCAAAATTTTACTTGATTTAACTACAAGTTGACATGCTTTGGAGAAGACATATGCTGAGTTGTTCACCTTGTTGAACATGTTTTTACAGGTAACCCCGAGTGGAATGGAGAAGGAGCCAAACCAGTCGTACAAAAGACTACTGGAATGTTAGAAGTAAATACAATAACATCATTGACTACAGATATTGTTGTGATGCAGAATATCATGAATACACATTTCAATAACATATATTTAGGATGACAACAAGTACAGGTTAATGCAGTACAACAACCACCTAAATAGTGTGAGATCTATGGAGGTGGTGACCACAATGCAGAGGTATGTGGGGCAAACCCAGATTCTTTTAACTTTGTAGGAAATGCTTAGCGTGG